GGAAGCTGGAACCGGCTTTGATGAATGCTGCAAAATGACGCGCCCACGCTGTAGACAATGGTAATGAACATGGTAATGAACAGGAGCTAGAGCGGTGTTCATACTGGGGGGTTGTGTTAAGTCGTACCGCGCTGTGTGAAGTCATACCTTGGCGCGTGGACATGGGGATAAGCATATCCTAGCCCTATCGAGTTAATGAGGCAATATTCGCAAGTAGTCATGAAGATTTGGCTGGTGGTTGCTTTAGATGGGTTTTAGCGCCTGTTCGTGATCTCGTTCCTAGGTTTCTCGCTGCGTGTAAATCGTGATTTAGATCTCCAACGTTCGAAATCGAGCGTCTGCATGGGGAATGGCTGGTTTTGATTTGGTGTTTGCTGCGATGCCACTGATGTGTTTCTTGAGCGGCTGCTTACAGAATCCAGCGTCTGCATGGGGAATGGATGGTTTTGATTTGGTGTTTGCTGCGATGCCACTGATGTGTTTCTTGAGCGGCTGCTTGCAAAATCGAGCGTCTACATGGGAAATGGGTGGTTGCCATTGCCACTGCTACGACTGCGACGTCACTGTCACTCCTCCTGCTACCTGCTGCTACTACCACGACTACCACTACTACTACCACCAGCCACCCCCCCTTCCAACTACCCCTCCTGCGTTTAGATGGGGTCTAGCAGTGTAATCGTGAAGTTTTGGGCGCATCGGGCACTGGTGCTCCCGGCTGGAAAGCGGAAATTTTGGGGTGCTGACCAGTCATTCTTTTTTATAAAGAGTCTTAACACAGAGGGGGGTCTCGGTCAGCCTGATCCACGCCGAATACAATCCCTGCCACAGCCGCAGCACTGAAATCATGCGCATTCCCGACGTATCTGACTGCTCTTGCTACATGCTTGAAAGCGCGTGCACATGGTGATTAGCGGCCAAACTGGCACACTTTTCAATTCTCTGTGACTTAATTTCCTAATAAAGCCTGCGCTTGGTGCTGGAAATCCTAAGTTCAAGAGTTTGCCAGGAATGTGCTAGGAAGCGCGTGGCCATGCGGAAGGCGATGTGCAGCTATGCTTGTGGTGTGACTTCGAACGCCCTGGTGTGGCTTCACGCGTTCCCGCGTGACCATGCAGTGTCGCGACTTCACACGCCCTATGGCGACATAAAGCTACCCCTTCTAGGGATTTCAGCTTCCATCCACAACACAGGAACGCACGTGAGCAAATGCATGGCCGAGGTTGGGTCAAGGGGGGTTACCACATACATATGTATATATATGTATATATATATACACACACATACATCCATCCATCCATCCATACATATATACATACATACGTAAGAAGCCATTCCTCGATGAGCTCCACGTTTGTATTGAGCCACAAACGTTACCACACCCTGCCGTGGTACAAGATCATAGAGTCAGCGGTTGTTCCAGTGTCAAAATAATGCAGCAACAAGCGTGCTTTTTTGTGTGGACTCGGCCGGAGATCTGCTGACACCACGAACAAACAGCGGCTGCGTAACAAGTGATGAATGTCGACAGGTAGATGCACAGATGACAGTCCTTGAAACCAAGCGGCCTCCACAGTTTGCCCTGCAAACAGAAAGAGAGACGAGGGAACCCAGTCTACAAGCTCAGCAAGCCTAAGCAAGCACCTCCAAGCACCGCTGGGCTTGCGCGCCGAGGAGGGGCTCAACACCCGGACCAGCTTCCGTAAAGCAGGGAAGGAGAGAGAAGGAAGGGATGCCAGCAAGAGAGCAGTCTTGGGCACGCCTCATCCAAGGAACTTTTCGGCAAGGCAGCTGCAGCGCACCAGGGTTTTTCCATGAGGCGCTGGCCGGGATGCCGGAAACCATGCATGTACGCAGGCTGTCGCGATTCTCGCCACTGTTCGTATGCACGAAGCTCGCTCGCACCGATTATTTGTGTGCACATCTTGTTCTGGATGTATCGAAGCCACAATGCAGCTGGTGCGATGCAATCAGTCAATGGTGAACTGCTCTTGGAAGCGTGCTTTTCTCTTCACGATGCGGGTTGCAAGTGGACAGCGATCAAGCTGGGTTTCAGCTTATGCTGAGGATGGCCATCCACGTCGTGTACTTGGTATATTCTTTGTTGCAGGAGCCACATGTGAAAGGGCTCGTGTTCAGCAGGTGATCAAGCCAAGCTGTTAGTCTTTGTGAGTATAGCCGCACTCAACAGAACCTTACTGTCGTGTGCTGCCGGAAGCTTAAGGCAGCTGAGAACTGTCCAGGATGGCATGCGTGCATGCCAGGAGTTTCTGTCCAGCCACACTTTTGAAAGCGACCTGTTCAACTTTCCTCTAACGCTCGTCCGGAGCTAAGTTCAGACAGAAAGACCTTTGTCTTCGGCGGGAGTGCTGTTGGCCCCCCGAGACCACCGTCCAAAGGTTGCTCTGAGCCACTCTGCCGGCGCTTTGCTTTCACTGGCTGCGCTCTGTGCCAGCGGGCACCAAGTTGTTGCCCCAGGCTCCGAGCGTTCCACGGCATTGCATGGTGCACGTGCGCAGATGCTGGCTTGACGCTTTGCTTGCAGGCATGGTAGGCACACTTCTTCCTGCCACTACAGACTTGGTGGCTACATCCCTCCAGCACGCGGCGCTGTACCTGATGCTGCCTGATGGCACGCATGTGTGGTGTTGAGAATTGTCCGCATGCCCTGTGGAGTGTGTGCAACTTTCCATGTCTGTTGAGGTTCTTCCCAGCGCAGTCTTTGATGCTTAGAACGATATTCAGTAGCCGAGCCTGGGGCAGGCAGTGTCGATTTGTTTGAGCTTCCTGTGGTGTGAGCCAAGGATGAAGACGCTCAAAGTGCTTCCTGTCATGCTCGTTGGGATCCTCTGTCATGCAAAAGATATCCTTCAAAATATTATGATCCACTACTCTCCAGAAGACTCGAGTGTCTTAGCGCGGGCGAGAAAATATCCTAGAGTAGGAAGCATGGACACAGGTAGCAACTAGAGGAAATGGTTGGATTCAAACCTATGGTATGCTGATGGCATTCTACTGTTGTCCGCTTTCATACGTCTCTTGATTCTCGTGTCCTGTCTTCCTTTCGATTTTGTCTCCATGTTCTTTGTTTCGATCATGTTTCTGTCTTGCCTTGTACTGAATTTCGGAGGTTACCTGTCTTACGAGTGAGCAGTGGGTCAGAACCCCAGGGCAGGGTATCCGCTATCCCAACAAGAAGGTCGCTTCGACATGGGCTGTGAAGTCTGAAGTTTCAGGAGCTGTCTGCAGAACCGAGTCTACAGCCGCCTGGACTACGTGGAAGGCTTTCTGCTGACCTGCTCCTCGGATCGATGAACATGGGAGAACCAGATTCCACAGGCCCTCGGTTTCATGTACCTGTCAAGCTAAGCCTTCAGGATGCGCGTTCGCAGCACGCCTTACCGCCTTGGTTCAAGTCAGGTACATGAGCATTCTGAGTCCGGGACTTTACGAACCTTTGAGCACAGGCTGCCCGATGTCCACGGCTTAGCTTCATGCCCCTCACCCTGAATCCGACTCCCACAACCCGATGCCTAAACTCTGAAGGCTAAATGAAACTCAGACCCCGGCCCCAGACCGGTGCAACTCAGACCTGCCATGGAGCCTTCTGCTCGTGATGCTCAGCCGCTACCATTGCGAGCGCGTGGTTTGGAGAATGAGAATGGTGCTAACCACTGCAGCCAGACTTTGTGCAGATTCAAGGCTTTTTGTTCTATGTCAACTTTCTCCTTAGGCGCTATCAGAGTTAGAGGCATTTGCTACAACAAGTGTGCCGCAGTCCCACGCAGCCCCGGATTGTGGGGTGGCGTTATCAGCATGTGTGCTACCTGCTTAGTTGTTTTGCATAGTAAAGCCCCCCTTCTACGTTTAGTTGTTCGGTGATTGCAGTATGGTGGACGCTGATTGCCCTGATCCAAGGCTTCTTGAACGTAGTTATTCAGGCTTTTTGGAACCTGCAGTCCTTCCGAAGACGAGTCCTCCATGGGTCCGAGAATGATTTTACCGGATCCACTGCTCAGAACCGAGTCGGAGCAACTGTTTACTGCGCTTTGAAAAGCGTGTTCCAGGAGTTTCAGTTTTCAGATGCAGACACGCTTCCTCCTGACTGCTTGCGGCGTGCCCTCTCCAGTGTGTATGATGCCCAGGGACGATTCAAAATAGGTGACATGGAAGATGCAACTGAGACGATAGAAACAATTCTCGGTTGTCTTCACGCATGCAACGTGTCGCACGGTCCCGCTTGCTGCCCGTTGCAGTCACAAGCCGAGTTTGTCGAAGAGGCGAGTGACTTTGGTTGTCACCCGATGTGCCTCGCCCATGAAGTGTTCGGGATTGAGTATGTTGATGTCACTCGTTGCACATTTTGCGGGGCCACGAGGGAACCATCAGTCTCAGGCGCCTACTTGTACAGAGCTTATGTTACAGAGCTGATTGACTGTCAAAGCCGAACTCCTGCGGAGCAGCAGGTTGTCGCAGATCGACAGAGCCTTTTCCAGGACATGGTGCTACAACTGACATCGAAGCTGGCAGGGCAGCATCCAGCCACCTTGCAGGAGGTTCTGAGAAAGCTTTGTCAGAGGGATGCTGAAGGGAAGTGCGTAGAGTGTAATTCGCGCAAGACTTTGGTTACCGAGCGTTGGCTTACGAAACAACCGAAGACGTTCATTCTGTCGTTGATTTGGCCGACATCCACACCTGGACGCGAAGCCTTGTGGTTGGTGCTGGCAATGATCCAGCCACAGCTGCATATGGACCAGATATTCCAGACAAACCCTCATTCTGACCAACCTTACGCGGGACCTTGCTCCTCCAAAGCATCCCGGGTCGAACTGGGCGATGCATATTGCTTTCATGGGATGATTTGCTACTTTGGCATGCACTACGTGGCACTTTTCTGGTGTCCCGCGAGGAAGCGCTGGATCTTATTTGATGACACGAGTGTGCGTGAGAAGGCAGACTGGAACTCAGTTACCAAAGTGATGATGGCCGGCCAATACCTTCCCACCTTGCTCTTCTACGAGCATGTGTCAGAGGATGCCGTACTGGCAGACTCTCTCGAGGAACTCACCCGTCAAGTTAGCGAACTAGAGCAGCAGCCTTCATGTGCCGCGATGTAGAAAAGATCGTAACCTCCTCCTGTGCGGGGTTGCATGACTCTAGCTAGAGGTGGGAGATGGTCCGTCATCCAATTTTGCTGGGGTGTGATGTTCGAAATTCGAAGAGAGCTGTCCGCAGATCCAGGGACTCACATCTGACATTGTCACCTGCTTGCACAAGGCTTTGTGGCGTTCTTTGTGTGGGACTTTCAGATCCACGAAGCGGAAGAGGTTGAAAAGAAGATGTCAATGGCTGGCATTTTTATGATGGTTGGTTACCTGACCGTGGACTCTTTTACCAGCAACTTTCAGGACGGCATGTCAATCATGCTATTACTTGCATCCGGAAGCTACAGAGTTAGAAGTGGCAGAAAGCCGGCCTTAGTAGTTTGGCTTCTGTTAGTCTCAGAGAGAGGAAGACCGGCTTGCAGGATCACATATACCAGACGACTGGACTTGAGCCTGGCCACATGCTTCTGGGAATGGACGCCGAGCTTTATAGAGACAGAACCAGCAACAGCAATACCGACTGCAGCAGACGTGGTTGTACTATAGCACTGTAGCAGTAGCACCACCACCACTCCCCCTGCCACTACTTCTAGCACTTGCTACTACGACTACTACGACGACGGCAACGACGACGACGACTACTACTGCTGCCACCACGACAACGACAGCAACGACAGCGACAACAGCGACAATAGCAACAATAGCTGCTACTACTACTACTACTACTACTACTGCGACGACGACCACGACGACGACGACGACTACTACTACTACTACTACTACTACTACTACTACTCACTACTCACTTGCACTACTCAGTCCTCGCTACTCACTACTCACTACGACTCACTACCCACTACTCACTGCGCACTACTGACTATTCACTACCACTAGCACTACCACTAGGACTGCCACTACCACGCACGACCACGACAACCACCACCACCAACCAACCACCCACCACCACCACCACCACCACCACCACCACCACCACCACCACCACCACCACCACCACCACCACCACCACCACCACGACCACGACCACGACCACGACCACGACCACGACCACGACCGCGACCGCGACCGCGACCGCGACCGCGACCGCGACCGCGACCCCGACCACGACCACGACCACGACCACGACCACGACCACGACCACGACCACGTCCACGTCCACGTCCACGTCCACTACCACTACCACTACCACTACCACTACCACTACCACTACCACTGATTGCCATCGTCATCATCATTGTCACTTCCACCTTACCATCTTCACCGTCGTCACCATCATTTCCTCATCCTCACTTCCGTTATAGTTGATCTAAATCTTCGTCTTCACCCCTACTATCATTATTATGATCGTCATCGCCATCATTGCCACCATCGCTACCATCCCCATCACCCTGCAAGTAGTGATTCAGCCTTCAGTCGGAAACCTGAGCGTCGGAGCGGCAGAGGGAGTGAAAGGGCTTCAGCCTCCGCACCGGGTGTCTCAGACTCAGAGACTGAGGAGTCGATCTCGGGAGTAATGGCCTGGATACTGACGATCGTCTCCGGTGAACTTCCTGTCGCCTTTCAGCCAGCTGGTGAAATATCGGCTGAAGTGCTTCAGCTTTCGGTTTGATGTTACAGTGGGGCCAGCAGCCCAGGTATCGTATCTAAAGATCTTCTCGCAACAGATAGCTGGTTCAAATCACCGCATTAGCCATTGATTACACATGCGACAGAGCTTCATCCAGCCAGGAAGCCACCCAACTAGATGAGCAACCCCGCTAGGTGAGCTACCTGCATGACACAGCATTGAGCAGGTTCATCCGCTCGCATCCAGAGATAACTTTCTTTCTCACGCTCTTCGGCTGCAATCCTGTTCAGCTGTGGCCCCTCCTTAGACTTTTCGCCACACTACTGTACTGCCAAACCTGGCTTCCTGCTTCGGTCTGAGTGGCAGCTTGTGATCATGGTCGCATGCTTTGAAGTTGACCTCTGCATGAGATGAGCGAAAGAGTAAAAGACGTAGTAGGCTATGAGCAGGCTCAGTTGCTTCATTGCGTGAAGCCCAGGATGTCCTCCCGTGAGGTTTAGATCGCTCGAGGGTCTATACAAAGCTATAAGCTTGTTGAAGACAATGTTGAGGTAGTGTTGAGGTGTATCAAGATCTTACAGGCTTCAGAAAAGACATTTGAAGACACATAAAGCCAATATTAAGGTTGATAAGACTTGTATTGCAACATGAAGGTAAATGACAAGATATATCAACATTCTATGTAAGCCGTCTTTGACACAAATAATGACAACAAGTACAGACAAATGCAGGCAACTAAAAGCACGCAGCGGCAAATGAAGGAAACTAGAACACAGCAAAAACAAACTACGACACAAACAAAGTCAACCTCGAAGACAGTAATACTGCAGCTTGGTGTGATGTTGCGAGGCCAGAGTTCGTTGACCTGTCTAAGTCTACTATTGCTGCGAGCTCCCTTCACCATGCTCGTCTCAGGATCTTTGCTATGGCAGCTGCTGTTGGTGCCTTCAGCTGTGTGCTGACTGTTCGACTGTGGCTTGTCCATGAAGGAAACCAGAGCTTGTGGAAATGTGCCTGGGGCCACTGGGATCGACTGTTTGTAAGAGATTGCACTATGAGAACCCAGCTCTCCGAGCAATTCGGTCTAGTGCCGGCCAGATGTGCCAGCTTTGGTAAACCAGACAGAAGTCCATGGAGAGGCTGGTTCAGGCCGGGTGGGTGAGACGGGCAAAGCAAGCCGACAGGATGGAGCATCAGGATTCCAGGGAACCACCCAGTTTCGCGCAGCCTCAAGAATCGGGACAGACGGCACGAGCTGTCGTGCCCTTAGTTTGAAAGAGTCCTCTTCGATCAGCAGAAAGCATCTTGATGTGTGAAATCGGCTTGTTTCTACTTGCAAGCTCCGCATCGAGTCCAATCAAGTCTTTCAATGCTTTTAGAAGCCAAGGTTTGGGCCAGCGGTGTTTACTCTTATCATGACATCCCGTGCCATCATGAGCCTGTTGCTGTCGGTGCCTGTGCTGCCTTGTCTGGCTTTCATTCTGGTTTCTCGTAGGAGACTTCTTAGGGGGTTGTTAGCCTAAGAGCTACAGTGGACTGGACGAATGCCTTCAAGCGTAGCAGGTTGCTGACCATGCTTGAAGTCAGGTGTGCGAGGAAGACTGGTGGGGAGAGCGTTCTTTGGATACTGTAAGATGGTCTCCCTGTTTCCTGGTCTGAAGCAGGTTCAATGCTAAACCGGGCTGTTGGAAGGATTGTCTTTCAGGGAAGCTTCTGACTGCGTCCTCGTGTCAATGGGCTACTGACAGCGATGTCAGGTGATTTGCTTCCAGCACGAGGTGGCTTGGGCTGCTTGGCGCGAACGGTAAGTAAGGCATGCTTCAATTAAGCCGATCTAGCAATGCATCCATTCCTCCAATCCTAGGAAGAGTGCCTATGCCTCATCGTTGTGTCGCTGGTCATGCTGATCTCCTCAACACGTCGAGTATCGGTGGCAGCCTCGGTCCTCAGTACACTCAAAAGAGCGCCGACACAGCCTCCTCCCGACGATGGAGTTGACAGTGGGGACAAATCTGGACGTGTTGAGGAGATCAATTCTTTGCCAGCTCTTTCCAAGGCGCAGCTTCGCCAGCTGGACCTGTCCAAGCACGGTGAAAGTCGCCTTTCACTGACGGGCGGCCAAAGTAATTAAATTCCCTTAGCTTTGTGCCCTTGACAGCTTGGCTTATGGCATGTTGGCACTCTTTTTAAACTGCTGGTGCAGCCTGAACAATTCGAGAGGCTCAGTGCATGTGCTTTGCTCACGGTGAGCAGGAAAGTTTCGGCAGTTTGTTTGTCAGTGATAGACTGTAACTCCTGCCGCAAGACACCGGGACTCTGTGCCTGAAGTAGGGCATCTGAGGCAGCTCCTGCCTTTGCTTGGAGGTGTCAAAACGGCCAGCAACGTGTCATTGGTGTTGAGGCCAAGTGTCATGTGGTGTTGAGGCCAATCTGGATGTATGTCTGTATGTGTTGAGCTTGTGAGATTGCAGGTTATTTAGTTTAGGCTTAAGGCTGTGCGCACACATCTAGTCGAGGAGCTTGAGATACGACAGCTTTGCGATCCGAGTTCTTTCCGGCTTTGGGGGTTGGGGAAGATAACGCCGACACATGGGCTAAGCAAGCGCTTCCCACATTTCGCAGTGGCAACCCGGCAGATGGGCAAACAGCAGCAACCTTGTCGGAGAAAGCAAATTGGTGGTATCATGACCTCTTTAACTTGTATAGTGTCGGGTGGAAGTCGGGGCCTGCTTCATCTTCCTGTCTTGATGTTTTGTTTTTCAGACCGATCAATAGCGCTGGAGGGTTCGGCTGACGCTATTGTCGGGCGCGATTGCCGAAGCGGGCACTATACGAAAAAGGCTGTAGGTACAGCTATGCTGCTTATTCAGTATTCATTGTACTTGTATGCAGAGGAGCAACGGGTGTTGCAGAGAAAGTCTAGATGGGCGACTTGGTCGAATCTTGACAATGGCACGGGTCACAAGGGTGGGCCGGCGCCTGCTATCTGAGCAGGGCGCATGATTCCACGGGTACAGTAGTGTCGTGAACGGCAGCCGATTTTTTTCAACGACAGCCAGCTGAACCGCGAAACCATCTCTGCTGTTCTCCGGCTCTCAGCCCTCAACCCGCCTCCTCGCCGCCACACGAGCAACCTCGAGGACGCTATGCAAAGCCGGATCGAGATCTTTGCACACGTGCTATGGACAAGCTAGTCGTCATGCATGTGCTTGACGAATTCCGGGAATCTCATTCCGATCGTTCATCAGGTGTGCTTTTGGATGGCAACCAGGTCACAAGAGTCACAAGAGAAAGTCTGTCCATATGGATCATGAAAATACAGAAAAATCTCGCACCTTCATCGGTGCGCTCATCACAGCGGCATCATGATATTACGGATAAGAAGGAAACTGAAGCTGTTTGAAGCAAGCTGTTCTGATTTGTTATTCGTGCTGCCCTCATGGGTAGACTCGGCTAGATGGATTGAAAGGATGTCTTGTGCCGAAGCCACATCCGTGCGAAGGATCGATGCCATTCTGTTGCCCGCGCCGGGCTGGAGCAACAGCGGCAACGTACCACGACAGCAAGAATCTGATTTGGGGTGCCGCTTAGCCGGTCTTCAACTGTGCAATTGCCTGCGTGTGAGACCGGTGTTTCCACAGAAACGGTGCAGGGCGGGAGTGGACGGCCTCGAGTGCCGTCTATGTCTCGGAGACCGCCTCAGTCTTTGCGAGTAACTGCGCCTTCGATCATATCGTTGCAGACTCTTTTGCTGCCGCAAACAAGACTGGGCTAAGGCCAGGGAGAAGAAGGTGAACTTATTGCACCTTGCAGGCCCAACTGTAAGCGCGTACAATGACAGCTTCTGGGCCGGTTTTGGGCCAGGGTTCAGTTGGCAAGGATCAACAGTCTTACGGCATCTGCAGACTGCAGACGCTGAAGGGCACGTGGCACTGTGGCGTTGATTGATAGTCTTCTTCATATTCCGGTCAGATCTTACGATGGGCCACGACATCCCATCAAGAGTGAGTTGGTCTTTGAACTTTGGTCATTACATGTCATGATGCTGAGTGGTATTTGTAATGCCCCGCCACGAAAAAAATTGGGGCAGCCGCGCTGTGATGCCCCCATGCAGATCACGTAGCCATAGCTACGCTCTGACTCCCCTCCGCTTGATGAGGGCAAAGCACGCCTGGCCAGGTGCGCAGGCAGTATGCGCTGGGTGCACCGAGCATGCTCTTGCCTCAGCTGTGAAGAACAGGGCTTGCCAAAGCTTGTCTGTGACATTGAGGCCTTGACACATGGCGAGCTTCTGGGCAGAACCCCAAGGCAAGGACCTGCATGAAAACTCAGCAGGGGCCAGTGATTTGATTTTGGACGTTGGCTGTTGCGTTGTTGGGAGCACGATGTTCTTACGAGGCCTTCACGCATTGCTGCGCTTGCGGCTTCCGCTTCTCGGTTTCGCAAGAGCAGTTGTCGTGGTCCAATTTCTGCAAGCAAATAGTTGTGATTGAATGAGGGAGATTATGATTGGTTTATCTAGAAAGTATAATTAGGCTCTTTGGGGCCAGGTGGCAGTCCCCATGCGTTGTTGAGATTGACCAGGTTCAGCTTACCCCACTTGGGTGTTAGCAGGGTGGGCACGAGGTGCCCTACATTAGGCACGTCGGATCCCGAATCCCAAGCGATGCCTGAATTGATTATTGGAGGCTGGGTACATTGCATTGCAGGATCCTCTGTCTTGACTGAGGCTACAAGCTACGCAAGGCATCTGAAGCGGTGAGCCCAGCTTCTGCACAATGGGTTTTTGGTCTCCAGCGTAACTGCGGTTCATCCGTGCTGATCGCGGTGCATGTCAATCGCTTGACAGGGACGATCTGTGCAGCCGGTTTGGCAGCGTGCTGCTGACCTCATCTCAAGGCTTGTGCTCTTCAGTGCTCGAACCGGACCAATGGCGGTCTCATCTCTGAACGCGTTGGCATTTAAGACAATGGCGGGCGGTGGGGGGTCGTGGGAGCGGATGGCTCATCACCACGCAGGAGTGCGGCACCAGCCAAAACGGAGCGGGGGTCGGCAATCAGTCTTTCGGGAAGTTGAGGCGCAGGTGACGGCTGCAGCTGCAATACTGTAGCAAATCCCAAAGGAATGTGACTCTGAAGCGAGCTTAGGCCTTGACAGGGGCTAGCTAGCGCGCAGAGATTTAAGTCAGGCGAGGTGGCAAGCTTGGATGAGGATCAGGTTCACGTGGAAATCGCTTGGAAAAAGGCGATCCTGATCCGTTTGCTCCTGTGCCGAAGGCCTGTCCAGAGCTTCGCGGTGCTGCCCGATACGTCGAAGCTTTCCTCAGATGTGTCTGCGTCCCAGCAAGCACACAAGGAGGGCAGCGGAATGCAGCTCAAATCACCTTGAGGTGCATCACTTCTTGTTCTTCTGTCCCCAGCGGCAATGCGGAGCATTGTCAGGACTTTTGACCATTGTCCCCTTCAGATCTAATTAGCGACCGCGTGGCTAGGCTTGAGGCTGCCAGTGAGGTCATGATTCTGATAGTGGACTGTCACCAGCTACAGCTACTTTGCAGTTACAGCAGCCAGTTCTACATACCTAAGCAGCCTGTTTATTCGCTGAAGCGTTCCGCAAGAAGCTTGCATATCCTTTCTGGAGGACTCGACCGATCTTACCCGTTTGGTGTCTTTGCCTGCAATCACGAATGAGACAGGGTCGTGACAAACCATATTGGCCCATTGACGCAATAAGTTACTGTATGTAAGAATCGTAACAGCCATAGCCGCAGCCATAGCCACCTATCCCGCGAGATTTTGTGCATCAGAAGCAGGGGACCGGCCGAACCAGCGGTGGCTTTGTACTTTCGTCACGGCATCGACCGAGCGCTGGCTTCGTGTGTTGGCCCCAGGCGGCTCAGTATGTCGTTGTGGATCAGAGCTCAACTCCGACAAGCACCGACTGCGCAGAGGCCCGGGGCAGTACAGTAGCCCTGAAGCTCCGTTCCTTTCGCCTCGCAGGACGACAGCAGCTTCTGCGCAATCGCACTTTATCCTTTTGATCCCACAGCGCTCGGTGGTCCCGACTGGTTTGCACTTGACATCACTCGACAGAAGTAAGCTGGAGCATACTCTTGTGCTTTGCCTGCGGTTGCGATTTTCAGTGTCACGCATGCTTTGATGGCCGTATTCTCTTCGAGACAGTGCGAATTGCGAGCGATTAAATGCATCGAGTAGGACTGGCAGCACAATTCACAAAGCAATTCCGAGTTACTCGTTACTAGTAGCTGAAGAGTGCGAGTCAACGCGATGCCCCCGAATTGTCTGGTGCGCAGGTGGAACCGAGCCTGGAAATTTCTTGGCGCTTGGAGTTGGGCAGTTGATGCAGGTGCATCATGGCGGAACCGTGGCTAGAGATAGTGCCACAATGCGCTCGCGGCAGGTCACTCATGATTCACGAAGCGGCTGGTTCTGGGGACATCCGGCTACCGAGCCGGAGAAGCGTGGCTACTTCCCCAAGAGCGGCTCTGGCTAATCACTCATGAAGACCACAGCTGTTCACCAAAGACTCGGGTGTCAACTGTCGACGGCGCTGCTGGGTTGGCCGGTGCAGGTTTGGCAAACCATAAGGTTTAGTCGGCGCACGTTTGTTTGCGGACTTGCTGAGGTCATGTGGTGTCCTTCGCGGCTTTCTGCAAGCTGCAGCGGATGTACTATGCCAAACCAAAAGGGCTGTGACGGAAAGCTTCGCCACCTTGGCCCGAATTATCTTGAGAGGCACATTCGGCTCTCAGGAAAATGAAAGAACATCAACCACTTGTCAATGTCAAGTGGACGAACAGGACTGACCCAGCCTTGTATAGAGCAGCACGCCTTCAGCAAATGAGTACCTCTGGTACCGGTTGTGGGTCGGTCAAGGCTGCCGGTTCAGAGTGCTTTGTGCTAGCCACCTTGGGGCTTCGCCAATTCTGTAATTATTTCTGAGGTTCGAAGACTCAAATCCTTAAACCATCTTAAATCATCACGGCTTGCAACCTGATACAGAGTTGGGAAACTGGAAGACCAGGTCTTGGAAGACCCAAAGGAGATGCACATCAGCACACAAGCAGCGGCATATGGCCAGTACCCATGGTGTGGAACATGCAAAGTACGCGCAGTAACTGCGTGCAATGCGCTGTATGGGCGCAGTGCCGGCCATCGTTTTCAAAGTTGTTTGCGCACCCGCCGAGCAGCCGCAGGCTTCCACAGCCGCGTTCAAGGAAACCCCAAACGCAACCGGAACCGTCAAGCTTCAGATGGTAGCAACTTCAGACACTGGCAGATCTTTCTTTTTGGGTTTCTTTGCTCCGGTGTTGGCGCAAATTCCGCGACCGACCCGGTGCGAACTGTGAAGTTCTCGGAGTGGCGAGGTGCGCTCGATGCAGACATCTGTCATACCGGGCGGAGGGGCATGAAGGGCCACGAGTCGTAGCAGATACAGGCTTCTGCCGATACCATTGTGCTGCACGTGGCACACTGACACACATTGCCAGAGATTGCCGTACATGTCAGATGAGCGACGATGGTCGATGCACATGCAAAGAGTAGCCGTCGGCTGATGCAAGAAGCATGACTCCTTTTTTTGAGCAGCACAGCCTGCCTCATCTCAGGGGACGGTCGAACGGCCCTTAACTGGCGCATGAGGCCAACAATGGGTGCACTCTTGAATTCTTGCAGAATGCAGTGGCGAAGCACAGAAAGCACGTGAAAAAGTCACAGACATGACGTTGTAAGTAAGGGACTAGGCAGGAAACCTGCCAATCCCAGCATAGGCACCTTGACGTTCTGTCATGCCTGCTGGCTCACAAACAGCAGCACAAGCATGAATACCGCCTTGCACTCTGCTTGGAGATCAGGGGCAAGTGGCCTTTCGGCACAGAACTGTTGCCTTATCTTTAAACATCAAAGAATTAGATCTGTGGTGCCCATGCTTCGACACAGCTGGGCACTGCAAGGCTGGAAGCGCCAGAGGACGCAGTGTTGTTGCCGGAGCATACTGTCTTATAGTGTCATGGTCTCGTGTGCAAACATGCATGCGGCAACCTCTGGTCTTGGCGATGGCTGCATGAGACGGAACAGCTCAATCAACAGCACCGCAGGGTGTTGCTTGATGCTGCTGACGGGCGTGAGTGACCGGAGCACATGCAGGTTCTGCCCCGGACGAAAAAAGTTGTGCGGACAGAGCTGAGCTGGGGTGGGTCGTTCCACTTCTGCGGGCAGCAATCGTCTCCTTTTGAGACCACCTGCTTATCTCACCCGTTACCTCATCAAGCCTGCATCTCAGCAGCCAGCCTGTTCCAGACATATTATCCCTAAATTGCATGAGAGCCGTATTCTGCGAGATGAATTTCAACGACCGGGGACCTCAACCCTGGAGTGCCACAGCCCCTGACACTGACACCTAGGCTACGGCTAGGGGAGCTTCCTGAGACCGATCTAGCAGTTTGCAGCATTTGGCAGAACCACTGCAGCAAGACGGGAAAGTGACCGCATGTCAATGTCATGGAGGTCCTTCGGATTATCACAACGTGTGGTTCGATGCTCCTCAGCTGCGGAGTAAAAAGTACTCAAACCATGTCAATGTGGATTCGTAGCTCACATGGACGTTCCTCGAAGAAGCCCAGGGCATTGTCATGCTTGCGCTCCGAGCGTGGCATGTAGTTGCTAACCCACAAATTGCCAGCAAGAGCCCCAAATCCTGCTTGGCCTCTGCACCCGGCCATGGCCCAATGGCAGAGAGCGCGCCAAATTGAAAGGCAAGGTCTGCAGAATTTACGAACATGCGGAAAGAAAGATGCTCTGTGTCACTGCACCTGGCATGGCAGGCGGGCGCTGGCAGAGCTGCCATCGAGGATGCGATTTTGATCTCGAGGCGACCGGCTGTGCTGAGATGCTCAGACTGGCAGCCGTCCATCAAGTATGAAGTTTGCATGGTGCCAGCACTCCAACTGGAGATGATTGGAGTAACATCCGTCGCAAGAGAGGACAACTTTCCAAGCGAGTGTTCTATCCGGAACCGGTCGTGGAGTGTGTGGGACGGAAGCAGACGGTACTCATAGTATGACGGGCGCAAACATCATATTGACCCGAGCAGCTCCATCTGATGTGCTCTCGCCATGGCGAGTGGCGAGGAATACTATGTCAAGGCCTACCAGGACATTGAGCCCAGTTGTGCTCAGACTCCGGCAGCCATGTGTGTATGTGTACTTTGAGTGAAGTACTAGCTGATCATTTGCTAGGAAGATTGGTTTGGTCCTCGTTTCCAAGCGGACGAAGCTTGACTCGCCGCACATGTGCATTGTAGGACTTCAAGGAGATGGGAATAGAAGGAGCTGCAGCTCAGGCCCGCGTTGAGGGCTCAAGGATTTTGCTCCTTCGTGGATTTCCAGCGAATAAGCAGGTTCTTGTGCAGCTCTCACAAGCTTCAAAGATGGTTAGACTCAACTCTGTTGGACGCTTTGGCCTGGCAATCCTTCATGTCGGAAAAGTCTGCGCGAGCAGGGCCGCAAGTATGCGAAGCACACCACTACGCTGTGTCAGGCGACAACAACTACGCACACGATGCAAATGTTCTCCCGACAATGCGATGACAGACTCAGATTCTTACTTTGGGCGTGAGGAGGGATCCCGGTGGCACACACGGGAAATCCGGGCTCCCGCTGTGGCGCAGTGCTCATTCTGGGCTCATGTCCCATTACTAGCATAGTCTAGCTGCGGCTGCGTCCTCCGGACTACGTGCAAGCGGGGAGCGATCCTGGTCTTCCTGGTCGTCGTGGTGTTCGTGGGTGATCGTCCTGCTGGTCCTGGTGCGGTTGGTTGTCTTGGTCGTAGTGGTTGTGGTGTAGTCGTGGCGGCCGTACAGGTATCTTCGTGTTTACATGGTGCATGGCATTTCGGTGTTTGGGGATCTACGCTGGAACAGTAGTATTAAACAGAGGCTAGGATGGTAGTATTATTCATGAATAGGTATAGGTAGTATAGGACCAGCAGGACTCATAGTGTTTGCACTCTACAGAGTTGCAAATTCCAAGAACATATGCAATGTGATCATTGAGCAGCAACGTTACATCGGAAGGAAGAGGGGCACGCTAGCAACCATCCAAAGTCGCACAAGTGGCATTTTACATCGGCAATTATCCGAATACTCACACTGTAGTGAGGAGAGCGTTGCTTGTGTGCACTTGTCTCCGGCTTCCTTTCGCTGGCCTGCCTTTCTGGGGCGTCCCCTGCTCCGTGTAGTGACAGCTGCAGCTACTTCTCTAAACAATACTGTTGCTTACTTTTTGTGGGATTGACCATAACCGCGCTAACTCTCATGTGCCCTGTCCATCCGCATTCTCCGCGGGTCGCCTCTTTCTTGTAGGAACTCTTTAGACTTCCGCGCGGGCCATCACTTCGGAAACCCGGCCCAGTCACAGATATGCAAATGCAACCCTTCTCGGACTTGAAGAAAGCATCACGGGAGCGAGCACAGAAGCTTGCATCGTGGCAGTTGGCAGGTGCTTGTGGAAGGCCTCACTGCTCATCCAGGCAGCGCTCGCTTGCTGGAGCTCGGTTCTCAGAGGGCGAAACTTAGGACTTACGGCCGTCGGCCGTAGGGTCGCAGAAGGTGCCTTTGCCAAGGCTTGCCAGTGGAAAGGCAGTCGCTCAGCCGCCTGAGCTTCCACAGGCTCGGAAGTTTTGAAGAGATACGACTAGACTCTAGATCTGAGCTTCTCCAGGAGGTCTCTTCCTTCCCTCCATGACCACGTGCTTAGTCACTTGAGTGTAGGATTAGGACAAGGTTCCAGTGCTCAAGAATTCCCCGAGCATCTCGACAGACTCGGTCCAGGTCTGTACTGGTAGTGCTGCACACAGCCGGCAGATCTGGGCAATACTAGCTTGCTTCTCGCTGTCGTGCTCTTCTCTGTTATTCGTTCGCGTGCTTCTCACGTCTGCCTTCGAAGGTACTAGGTTACACGCAGTCTCATGGCATGCCTTCAACTCAGTGGCCTCCATTGCGCGTTGACCTGCAGTGCAATCTCAAACCGCAAGAAAAGGCGCCTACTAAGATCCAAATTCGCCAGGGGAAACGCGAAAACAGAACAGGCTGCTCACCAAAGTCGCACACCACATCCGCACATCGACTGGAAGGGGTGAGGAAGACATCTGTGGCGACTGTCCAAATCTTCACGTTGCTGGTGACCGGTCCCTCCCCAGTGGGTTTTCCACACTACAGACAACTGCGGATTGTTCGTCAGTTTCATGTTTGAATCGAGCAGAACAGAGCCTGCTGCTGTAGGCCTCCGCCTACCCTGTGGACCGGGGGACAAGTGGAGGTGCGCTGGAACAGGCGACGTGCTGCTTGAGAGCTGGTCTTTGAGTCGGTTGTGTCGGATGTTTTGTGATGATAAGGTCATAGAATCTGTCACAGCGTTTCACGTAATAGTTGTGAATGAATAATCTTGCATAGCGTCACAGTAATGCTCATACAGGTCTTAAGCCGTTTGAATATCAGGATTCTTCCAATACAGGCAGCACACAGTCTAAATTGGATGTACATACATCAAGACTTACAGATTACTCCCCCTGTGGTCCTCTCTTGTTCTTCCCGTCCCCTTGTCAAACGGCTTGGGGCTGCAGCTTCCGGGCTGCGGGGCGGAGGCTTTAGGGTTCATAGGACGGCTTGGCTTGAGGGTCGGGGTGTGGGGGGATACCAT